AATAAGATAATAAGTTGGTCGAAAAAGAATTAAAAAAGAGGGAGTGAATGTCATCAGGCTGGAGACTAAAACAAATCCATATGCCAGATTTAGGGTATATTTTGATCTGTTAGAAGAAAGTGTATCCCAAAATTTTAAAGAAAGAAAAACTTATATGTATTCAAAAAATAAGGCTAAATACAATGAAGGGTTAGAATATGACTATAAAAATGCAAATTGAAAAAGATTTTTTAAAAGGTATTGATAAGATAAAATAGGTTAAAATGGGAAAGAGGAAATATTCAAAAAAAAACAGAAAAAGAAAAAATAAAGAACATTTTAAAAATTTAACTTTGAAAGACTAAAGATTCATGGGTAAAAAGCCACGAATTCTGTTTTGCTGCATTTCTCTAGCACTGGTGTTTTGCAATCCTTATTGATCAGTAAAGTTGGTCTTAGCTGGATGTTCTTGCTGATCTTCTGGGGGAAGCGCCTATTGCAGTGATTATCAAATATCTTTGCCAGAATTGCACCACCCTTGGCAAGGGCCAGGCTAAGCAATCTGCTCAGGTTTGCTCTCAATAGCTTTTGTTCCCTGAACGCTTCCCATACAGCTTTGGAGGAGGAGAATAAAGATGGCGGCCTCCCAATCTCTGAAATGGAGGAGCAGAGAGCTTGGGCAACGCCCTCTTTAGTGCATCCTTAGAGAAAAGCAGTCAATCACTCCTGTTTCCCACCCTGTATTGTATTCTCACTCCAGCCATGCTCCAAGCTCACCCGGCCTGTGACTGAGTGTTTCTATCTCTGGCACACGGCCCCATTTGAAGTCTCCAAACCCAGCAGATTCCTGCTGCGTGTTCCCACGCTGCTCCTCCTCTAGGAGGAAGGTGGGGGTCTCCCTGGATCTACCACTTGTGGGGTCCCTGCTCGAAGAATAGTGGCCCAACTCTGTCTCAGATCAGGGTTTAAGGTAAGCCAGAGCTGAGAGCTCACTCCTTGGCTCCATCTCTGTAGCCAGCTTCCCCTTCCAATACATGGGAGCTCTGCCACACTCAGATACCCCTGGTCTTTTTGGGACCCCTCAGGTCGTGAGACCACACTGTCCCCACGAGGGCTCTACCCCCTGCTTGGCCTATGGAGCCATATCCCTCAGTGAAGCAGACTTCTAAAAGTTTTGATTTTGTGCCCCACTGCTTTACCACTTGCCAGGGGCCTACTCCTCCCCCTGCGGTCTATCTTCCTGTATATATTACCTTGGAATCACTCCTCCACACATCCTACCTTCCAGAAAGTGGTTGCCTTTCTGTTCTTAGAATTGCTGCTATTCTTCTCTTTGATCTCCTGTTGAGTTTTCTTGCCTTAGATTTTTGTAAAGAACTTTTGTGTCTGTGTTGATTAGAGAAGCTGATCTGTAATTTCCTTTTAAGTATTTGTCAGGCTTGGGAATCAGAGTAAGAATGCTTTCCATATTGAAGGAGCTGTTCCATCTTCCTCAGTTTTTCAGAATTTTTCAGAATTTTCATATAATTTGCATGATTTCTTCCTTAAATATGACGTATATGCACTAGTGAAGTCACCTGGCATGGAGTTTTCTTTGTAGGAAGGATTTTAAGTTCAAATATAACTTCTCATATAAAAAAGATGCAGGTCTGACTCTTTTGAATAAGAGAGGGAACCAAGGGAGGTTAGATTGGAAAAGTCATAGACTACATGTAATTCTAAGAACATTGGGTAAAGCTGTTGGGGAGCACTCCAGCCAAAGTTACCGAACAGGGGAGTCCTCCATCTTGCAGGAAAGGGCCTGCTATAGTATCCACTCTGGTATCCCTGCCATGCTCAGGCACTGGCTAGAAGCAGATGTGGAAAGTGTGGCCTCATGAACAGGATGGTTTCCAACAGGGAAATTATGCACTCACAGTGCACATCTGAGAGGTGAGTTTTCATAACGACTCTACCTAGAGAGGAGGGCCTCATGAATCTACCTTTGTAACAATTCCTCCTCCCTCACCTCCTTCCCCAGGTGATTAGAAACAGCTGGTCCAATGAATCACCTTCACAGGAAAACCTGCTTAAATTTTTTAAAAAGAAGGGCCTGTTAGTTGCATCCTAAGGAAAAAGGAGGCCCAGACTTCCTGGACATAACATCATACTCTCAGGAACTAGAATGGAAGATACTCCCTAATTCTTCTGTGACCAGCCTTTGGCCTATAATTGTGTTCTCAGTAGATGGCTTTACCTTGTGTTCTGCTCTGTATATTATCAGAAGTCACGGGCCAAGTGGAAGGGACACCCAGAGGATGGAAGAGTCCTATCTGCCTTAGAGGAGGACCCGGGAGAACGTGTTTGAATGGGTGTAGGGGGAGGTACAGGCAAGGTGTGGAGGGAAGCATATGTCTGGGCAGTGGGATGGACAGAAGAAATGGGAGATGGGTGATGAGGTGGTCCAATGCAGGGAGGAAGCTAACGAACAGAATACGAGTGTGGGAACTGGGATCCTGGCGTCACTGTTTATAGAGTAAAAATGCCTAGGAAAACATTTCTACAAAGTGCACTGATTGCTGAGTCCCAGGGCTGGGAGGCCCTGTGTTCTTCTGAGCCAGCCCACAAGGTAAGCTACCAGTCACTCAGAGAGCATCTTGCATGCCTAGTTGTAGGGAGAGGCACAGGGACCAAGAGAGGGAAACTGTGGCAGAGCTGTCACCCCTCTATCTTCCTGGTCCTGCCCAGAGGTGGGCCTGGTCCTCAAAATATCATTTCAAACCAAGAAGGGCCTAACATCAAAAGGAAATAGAAGAAGGGTCACTGGATAGTCAAAAATCTATGGAAATGCTCTCATAGCACCCGTTGCTCTTGTGAACTCTTGTGAATGCAAGAGTTTCAGTTGGGCTTCAGGTGAACTTCAAAGTGTTTACCTGGTACCTGCTTGATTAGACCCTCTCCCCCATCTTCATCCCCACCTCCTGCTGCTCTTTTTAAGGTAAAGACCACAATCTTTAACAGGGCCCTTCTTTAACAATCTGGCTGTTGCCCCCAAATGAGACCAAATCTAAGTCAACAGGGCCATTGAGGATTAGGTTGTTTGGGGTCAATGTTGGTAGCTTCAGGTAACTGTATTGAAGAAAACTCTTCTCCCATTAGCCTCATCTCAGTTTGCAAACCAGTATTTATCTGATTGTCCATTCATCCATGACTTTCTCCCCACTAGACTGGTAAGACCATGGAAATAAGGGACCTGGCCTGTGTGCTCACCTTGCACACTCAGGACCTTACAGAGTCCTGATTCAAACAGATGCCTGATAATCTATTTCCTGAGTATGTTACCTATTATAGCACCAATCTGAAAGAACAGAAACTAGAGAGGATGAGGAATATCCACTCTAAATAATAACAGCCATTGGTTGAGCACCTAATATTTCCAGTCCTTACTGCAACCTGCCAGGAAGACACTTGAGCTGAATCTTAGTGTCATGCATTGATTTTTCCCAAAAGGGTACGGCTAGCAAAGACTTGCACTGGGACTCAAACCCAGAAGATGCTGACGGCAGAGTCTGGGCTTTTTTGTGACTCTTCTGTGTCTCACATAGCCACTGCTCCAGTTGGTGGGAGAGGGCCAAACCAACATATTGGTTTTCAAGGTGATTTATGAATATTAGCTACATGTCAGTGTGTCTTCTCCTTTGCGCCTCTCATAAACGTTTCTGTTATCTGCACTGTGACTCTGGGCTACACCAGGGCTTGATGAGTATATACCATAGCGATGAGCAGTGTAAGTGTGGTAGACTCGAGCACCTGCCAGAGTTCAAAACCTGGCTGCAACACAGTCATGGGAAGGAAGACCACAGACTCAAAATGTGTCATCTAGACTCTGTAGGTTACCAACATTCTGCGTGCAGGGAAGAGGGACGCCAGAGAGAACACCATCTATGGGTGTAGAACTCGACTCTCACCTCCCCATACCCACAAGTTATAAATGTTCTTTTCCAGAACTAGCCTGGTAACTCAAGCGAGCCGTCAGGGTCTCTTTGGCAGAACTGTTTCTTTCTGTGGTTAAAAGTCTCTTTTTACAAGAACTGTTTTTCATTTTCTATGGACGCTGGTTTCTTAGAAGAGGTATATATATGGCAGAGCAAGCTTGTGGCACAGGAGAGCTTTGTTGATGGGAGTAGGAGAGGAGGGAGGTCCAACAAGTGGACACTTGTGGTAGAGGAAGGGGGGACTCCCTCATTACCCCCTGGCCAGCTGGATGGCTTTGGGCAAGTCACTGTACTATCTGTGCCTCAGTTTCCTTATCTAGAAAATGGGGCTAAAAATAAGACTTCACTTCGGGGGTTTGCTTTGAGTAGTGTCTATGTGCATCCTTTATTATTATCTAGACCTCTATCATTGGCTATTTTGTAAAATGCATTTGTCTTCCTAACTTTAATTTGGGATAATATTTGATCCTACCTTGTTCACACAAACAAACTCCTACAAAGCCTTTAAAACCCCAGCTTGAATGACTCCTCAGGATGTGTTCCCAGTTGTCTCACCTCAATACCTTCCTTCTCGGGGCTCCCTCAGTCCCCGGTCTAGAGCACTGAGGGAGTAGCCCGGTTTTAGAGTCATGCTGAGAGCTGAACCAAAGTCCCAGCTTTGCAACTTACAAATTAGGAAATCTTGGCCAAGTTATGTGACCTCTCTGACCTCTCTAAACCCACATGACCTCTCTTCATCTGCTAACCAGTACCTTTAGCAACATCTCAGGGTTTCAGTGGGAATAACTTAATTAGAAAAATTTAAAGTATAAAAATTAAATGCTCAAGAAATGGTAGACAGTTCAAAGCCTTCTAGGAGAGCCCCTGATTATATTGTGATTCACTCGCCTTCCCTGCATAACCCTGGGTGACGTCATCAGGGTCTTTAATCGTTTCTTGTCCCTGATAACTAGCACACTACCTGACACATAGTTAATGCTCAGTACATCCTTGCAAAATGCTGTGTGCAGTCATGAATGAATGAATGTGAACTCTCTGATTCTCTAGAATGTCCGGGAGGTGCGAGCTCCCCCTGCAGCGGCAGGGGCCTTTGTGCAGAAGGCATGGAAGGAAATGGAACTTGTTCCTGCCAGGTAAGCTCACAGACATGTTCTCCTTCCCCCTCTCCTTCCCTGTTGTCACTCCTTAAACACATATACACTAGGTGGAGTCTCTAAGAAGTAACACTATAGTAAAATGAGTATACAATTTGCGACAAAATGATCTCTTAGGGGCTGGAGACCTTTGAGAGAGTCAGTTCTCTCCTCAGGCTTAAGCATATCCTTCTGTAAAATGGGTTTGATAAAAAAAAAATACCTACATCATTATATTTGTTGAAAAAGTGCAATGAGTTTGTATGTGTGAAAATATTTCATGAAACTCTACAGGGCTGTAGAAATTACTGGATCTGTCTGTCCCTGTTAAGAATCCTGTGGTCACTGGGTCTGCCAAGAAAGAATGTCTATTGTTACCCCAAAGAAGTGACTTTTTGTGAGCTTCAAACCTTTGATAATTTAAATACAAAGAAATACTTGTGAAAGGGATGGAGCTCAATGTCTTCAGAAATGCAAAACTGAAAGAGTATTCATTTCACTCTTGAGTGAAATTATATGTGGCAGTTAGCACTTGCCCTCTGTTTGTATCTTTGGACTGACAAACCAGCTTCCTTCTGAGGAGCTCCAGATGCTTGGTGAAAAATGATGCAGAATTAATGTATGCATTATAACACAAAACAGTCAAGTATAAAGGCAGAAATAGGAAGAAGGAGCTTCAGGAAAGGGCAGAAGGAAGATAGTCGAGAAAAACATGCTGACCAGATCATCAGTTAGAAATCCCAGGGCTTCCTGGAACATCGACTGCTTGGGTTTCATGCCATCTATCTGGTTTTCTACAGGACGGGTTTGGGGGAACGGCCTGCGAAACCTGTGCTGAAGACAACTTATTTGGCCCCAGCTGTTCAGCAGGTAAGTCTGATTTTTGTGTAATCAAATGCATTTGTAAGGGCTGAGAGTCAAACTTAGCTTAGGCAGCTGAAGCCCCCAGAAAAGCTATTCCTTGCAGGGGAAACTCCAAAGAATTATGTAGAATGAAGTCTACACAGGCAAAAAAAAGAATTGACAAGAAATGCAGTTTTTGAAAAGAGACTGTTTTCTGTGGTTTTCAGCACCGGCAGTCAGCTGCTCACCAGTAATGGTTTCTGGCAAACTTGGTAGCATATGGTTCCCTCTCTCCAGGTTCCAGGATCCCATATCCACCTGTTGTTTGCTCTTGAGGTCTTTCTGTGTCCTGGTCTCAGCATACACCTTCTTCCCAGGGACTTCTTTTTCCATGATAGGTCCCACCAGATTTTGTTCCTTCCTTTTGGGAGTTCTCAAACATCTGAGGGGATCAAGGATTGTTGGCTCCATTTTGCAGATTAAACAAGCAAACAAACAAATTGATACTGGCTTCTCCATTCTCTGGGGTCTCCCCAGAAGTAGACCCTGAGACAAGGATTTCAGTACAGGGAGCATACTTGACACATCCCAGAAACACCAAGAAAATGACATAGGGAATATAAAGGGTGTGTTATCAAGCCAGAGACCAGCATAGATGATTAGAGCTTAATGCCCTGGGGAATGGGGTGTTACTGTAGAACTGTAGAGCATTTCTCTTGGAGTCACCCTATCACAGGGGAGTGGGAACCACAGTGTGGTAGGCAAAATGAGGACCTCCCCCAAATGTCCACATCCTAGGTCCCAAGGGATTACCCTTGGACCTAGGAATATGTTACCTTACATGGCAAGAAGAATTCAGGTTGCAGATGGGATTCAGGTTAATAATCATCTGACCTTAAAATAAAGAGATTATGCTAGATGATCCAGATGGGCCTACTGTACCCCAAAGTCCTTAAATGTGGAGGAGGAATGCAAAAGATACTGTGTCAGAGTGATGAATGTGAGGAAGACTCTGCCAGCCTTTGCTGTCTTTGAAAATGAAAGGGGACCACAAGCCAAGCAATGTGGGTAGCCTCTAGAAGCCAGAGAAGACAACAGGCTGATTCCAGCCCCCAGTGAGCACTTGGGCAGAGCAGCCATCCTAGGAAGGGCTCACAGAACATCGGAAGTTGGCTGGAAGACAAGGAATTGGTAAGGCCTAGAGAATGTGGGCATGGTAGGGACAGTCCCTGCCAGTTTCAGTCTCCCAGAAAGGATATGTCAGGTGACCTTTCTCCAAGGCTTCCTTAGTTGTGGCTTTTATGGAAAAGTCAATTTTGGGGGATCCCGCTTTGATTCAAATATTTGATTCAAAAAATATTTGAATCAAAGCAGGGTCTGCCAAAACTAACTTTTCCATAAAACCTACGCCCATATATAGATATCTCACCCCCGTAAAACCTATGCCCATACATAGACATCTCACCCCCATAAATTTGCAGACTGTGTAATAACTTTGACCTGCAACATCAGCGACACTGTCTCCTAATCCACGTTTCCTTGAAAGCAGACACTGATTCGTCTTTCTCCCTAGTACCTCCCATGGTGCTATTGCATGTAAGACATGCACTACACTTCTGTTGGCTGGGTGAGTAAGTGGGTGAGTGCATGAATGAATGAATGAATGACCGAACTCACTCCAGCCATGTTGTCCTGACCCACAAGCTTGATTTTGAGAGGCAGCATGTACAGAGAATTAGAGCTTTGGCTTACACTCAGACTAGGCTTCAGCCCTAGGAAGCCTCAGTTAACCAAGGACATGCTGTCTTGTCTTCATCTGTAAAAATAGAAACAATATTGTCTCCTTTAGTGTTATTATGAGGATTTAGTGAGATCATCAGTACATGATAAATGTTAGCAATTGTTATTACTAATAACTAGTATTCCTTAGTGGCCCCCAAACTTGTGTTTTTGTTCATCCACCATTCCGTAGAAGATGATTTTATAAGGGTGTTAGCAAAAACAAAAAACAGATACTGATATTCATGGTGTTTTTAACATTGTGTGTTATATTAAAGTACATTTCTCCCCATTTGGTCCTTCCCTACCATAATCCTAAGATCTGAATCACATATTTTGAATAAATATTGAAATGGAAAGGGAAAAAGGACAGCATCCAACATTGTTTACTTACCAAGAAAGCCAAGTATGGCTGGGGGATGAAAATTTGGAAAAATGAATCCATGTTACCTCTAAGAAATTGGTGCTGGGTGCTGATAAGAAAAGATATACAAGAAGATTCTAAACATTTCTAAATAAACTACCCTCTCTTCACACTTGTTTGTACCATGGAGGAAGGGCAAGTGACAAGGGAGAAAGGTGGATTAGAAACCTAATTTTTTTTTCCTTTTTTTTTTTTGTAACCATAGCAGATACCCTCCCCAATGTCCATCACCCAGCCACCTGATCCCTCACACTCCCCTCCCCTCTAAAAACCCTCAGATGTTTCCTGAGATTAAGAGTCTCTTATGATTTGTCTCCCCCTCTTTTTTCATCTTGTTTCATTTTTCCCTCCCTTCCCCTATGATCTTCTGATTTGTTTTTCAAATTCCTCATATTGGTGAGGTCATATGATAATTATCTTTCTCTCATTGACTTTTTACACTTAACACAATTCACTCTAGTTCCATCCACATCATTGCAAATGACAAAATGTCAGTTTTTGATGGCTTCATAGTATTCCAGTGTGTGTGCGGGTGTGTATCACATCTTTATACATTTATCTGTTGGTAGACATCTAGGTTCTATCCATAGTTTGGCTACTGTGGACATTGCTGCCATAAACATTTGGGTGCACATGACCCTTTGGATCACTACATTTGTATCTTTAGGATTAATACCCAATAGTGCAATTGCTGGGTCATAGGGTCACTCTTTTTTCAACTTTTTGAGGAACCTCCATACTGTTTTCCAAAGTGGTTGCACCAACTTTCATTCCCAGCAACAGTGTAGGATAGTTCCCCTTTCTCAGCATCCTTGCCAACACCTGACTTGTTCATTTTAGCCATTCTGGCTGATGTGAGGTAGGATCTCACTATGGTTTTGATTTGTATTTCCCTGATGCCAAGTGACGTTGAGCATTTTCATGTGTCTGTTGGCCACTTGGATGTATTCTTTGCAGAAATTTCTGTTCATGTCTTCTACCCATTTATTGATTGGATTACTTATTCTTTGAGTATTGAGTTTGATAAGTTCTTTATAGATTTTAGATACTAGCCCTTTATCTGATAGGTCATTTGCAACTATCTTCTCCCATTCTGTCAGTTGTCTTTTGGTTTTGTTGACTGTTTCCTTTGCTGTGCAAAAGCTCTTGATCTTGATGAAGTCCCAATAGTTCATTTTTGCCCTTGCTTCCCTTGCCTTTGGCAATGTTTGTAGGAAGAAGTTGCTGTGTCAGAGGTCAAAGTGGTTGCTGCCTGTGTTCCCCTCAAGGATTTTGATGCATTCCTGTCTCACATTAAGGTCTTTCATCCATTTGCAGTCTATTTTTGTGTGTGGTATAAGGAAATGGTCCAGTTTCATTCTTCTGCATATAGCTGTCCAATTTTCCAAACACCATTTGTTGAAGCGACTGTTTTTTTGTTTTTTTGTTTTTTTCCATTGGACATTCTTTCCTGCTTTGTCAAAGATTAGTTGACCATAGAGTTGAGGGTCCTCAACTGGGCTCTCAATTCTGTTCTATTGATCTATGTGTCTGTTTTTGTGCCAGTACCATACTGTCTTGTTGATGACAGCTTTGTAATAGAGCTTGAAGTCTGGAATTGTGATGTTACCAACTTTGGTTTTCTTTTTCAACATTCTTCTGGATAACCAGGGACTTTCTGGTTCCATATAAATTTTAGGATTATTTGTTCCATTTCTCTGAAAAAAGTTGATGGTATTTTGATAGAGATTGTATTAAATGTGTAGATTGCTCAAGGTAACATAGACATTTTCACAATAATTGTTCTTCCAATCCATGAGCATGGAACGTTTTTCCATTTTTTGTGTCCTCCTCAATTTCTTTCATGAGTACACTATAGTTTTCTGGGTACAGATTCTTTGCCTATTTGTTTAGGTTTATTCTTAGGTATCTTGTGGTTTTGGGTGCAGTTGTAAATGGGACCAACTCCTTAATTTCTCTTTCTTCTGCCTTGCTGTTGGTATATAAAAATACAACTGATTTCTGTGCAATGATTTTATATCCTGACAAGTTCCTGAATTCCTGGATGAGTTCTAGCAGTTTTGGAGTAGTGTCTTCTGAGTTTTCCACATGAAGTATCATATCACCTGCAAAGAGTGAGAGTTTGACTTCTTCTTTGCTGATTCAGATGCCTTTTATTTCTTTTTGTTCTCTGATTGCTGAGGCTAGGACTTCTAGTACTATGTTGAATAGCAGTGGTGATAGTGGACATCTGTGCCATGTTCCTGACCTTTAGGGAACAGCTCTCTGTACTTCCCCATTGAGAATGATATTCACTGTGAGTTTTTCGTAGATGGCTTTTACAATATTGAAACATGTTCCCTCTATCCCTACACTGTGAAGGGTTTTGATCAAGAAAGGATGCCGTACTTTGTCAAATGCTTTTTTAGCATCTATTGAGAGTATCCTGTGGTTCTTGTTCTTTCCTTTAGTAATGTATTGTATCATATTGATTGATTTGTGGATGTTGAAACAACCTTGCAGCCCAGGAATAAATCCCACTAGGTCATGGTAAATAATCCTTTTCATGTACTGTTTGATCCTATTGGCTAGTGTTTTGGTGAGAAATTTTACATCCATATTCATGAAGGATATTGGTCTATAATTCTCCTTTTTGATGGGGTCTTTGTCTGGTTTGGGGATAAAGGTAATGTGGGCCTCATAAAATGAGTTTGTAAGTTTTCCTTCCATTTCTATCTTTTGGAACAGTTTCAGGAGAATAAGTATTAATTCTTCTTTAAATGTTTGGTAGAATTCCCCTGGGAAGCCATCTGGCCCTGGGCTCTTGTTTCTTGGGAGATTTTGA